GGTGCAGGAGGTAGTGCTACCGTTCAGCAACCGGAGAGTTGCAGGTTCGAGCCCCGGGTCCTCCTGTCCCCATCAAAGTGTCCTTGAGCCAGACACTGAACCCCAAATTGCTCCCAGTGAGCTGGTTGGCACCTTGCATGGCAGCCTCCAAAACCAGTGTGTGAATGTGTGGTGTGAATGGGTGAATATGAGGCGTACATTGTAAAGCACTTTGGTAAAAAGCACTATATAAATGCAGTCCATTTACCATTTTAAAAGGAAGTTCTACAAAGAGAATTTCACTGTGAGACACGGGCGTCTTGCTCCACCATCTGCACCTGTTCACTTTTAATTTTAAGCTTCATTTCTATAGAACATAATTAAGTAAATGTCTATATGTATAACATTCTGCTTCATGAATGAGGCTTTTGGTGAGAGGAATAACAGAAAAGGAGAGCAGTTTTACTGAATTACACCTCATTACTCATTGCTCAACAGGAGGGCCTTTTGCTCAGTGATAAATTCATACTTCTTAGCTCATTCAGTTTGTAGTCATGTCTATGGTCAAACACACGACCATGACCTTTGGGGTCAGCACCCCTTTTTCAGACTGACATTCACTAGTGGTTTTCTCAGGTACCCCAGAATGAAAAACGAGTGTCAGGATGGGGTCAGGCTGGGGTCAGGATGGGGTCAGGCCAGAGTCACATCATGATAATGTCATTACAAATGGCCCAGCTGCTTCTGATGTTACAGGCCAAACTGGAGTGTATTAAGGATTTACACATTTTTTCTTTGAGTTCAAGATTAAACTTTCGGAGGTAAAAGAGCACTGACGTTGTCACAGTGGTGATGTCTGCATCCATGTCCACACTGCTGCTAACATAAACATCACGCCTTGAGATTGGTGCACTAATTTAGGGGGGAATCTCTCCATGATCACAGGATTGCAGGTTGACAGTTAGGGATTCCCTAAATTACTGTAAACACTGAAAGAATTGCAACAAGAATCGTTATAGTTTATTAATCTTATTTCATCTGAGGCTTGAAATATAATGTGTGGGTTGAGTGTCCAGTACATTTATCCCTTTCCATGTCCCCATGGTTTTTAACTCCTGCCACCACTATTTCTGTTCTGCAAAACAGGCGGGACAACAAGAATCACAGCACATGCCAGATCAACATGGTCTGTTGCACAATGCTGCTACACCTAATCTGTCTTTATTTTTGCTGTCAGTGGTGGGTAATGAGTTTTTGGGGAAAGGCACATGGGCTCCCAAAGGCGGCCGAATCCTTTGTTTGAAGAGACACGTCCCACACACTGTCCCTGAGCTGCAGTGAAGGCGATGGTCTACAGTTAATCTTCTATCTGAAGGACTGGGTGAAGCTTGCTTTCTCTAGCTGCTGAAAGATCTTCCTGGCATCCCGTTACCTAGGTCTATGTGGCCTCATGCTCTCTGATGGTAGCCCATAGCCTTTTATTCGTTCAGTCATGCTTCCTCTCCATTTTCCATCAGTCCTTAAACTGTTATCCACTCACGCTGGACGTGAGGTTTGAGCCGCTACCGTCAGACGTGTGAGGGTGTGATGGATGCAGATTCCTTTGAGGGTGTGTGTACCTGCTGGTCGGATGGTGACCTAGGCCATGTTGATGAGCCAGGCTGTTTCCTAACATCAAAGGTAATTGTTTGACATGTACGTGGAGGTGTCCTCTGTCTTCTGAGAAATACCACTTACTAGCATTACCATGTGATTTTTTTTCTAATTTATATGGAGACCCTGAACAGACCCTTTTTGCTTCACAAACTGTCAGTATTATCCATGATCAGACCGTCCAAACCCTCCCTGCACCATTCTCTTGCTCTTCTCAATACACACATTTGTCCTACGGTATATTTTGATATTTGCATTAAAATATCACAATATTGAAGTCTCTGCTTTGCTATTTATGGTCTCTCTGATTTTGGGTTTAATTTTCTTTTTATATCTTATGATTAAAATGCACAGTATAGTTTCCAGAGCTGCAAACACTGCTGTTGTCAAGGATGATTCATTTACTTACACAACTTAGTTACTTAACCACAACCCAGCCCAAACCTTACCATAAGTAACCAAACCAAATACAAGACTTTTACAAATACAAGAAGATGCTTACTTTTTTGATTGCACACACATTCTTTACCTACTGAGACTCTTTCCCACCATGATTCCCTACCCACTGAGACTCTTTCCCACCATGATTCCCTACCCACTGAGACTCTTTCCCACCATGATTCCCTACCCACTGAGACGCTTTCCCTCACTGATTCCACCCCACTGAGATGCTTTTCGACAGTGATATCATCCCACTAAGAAACACCTCCAAACCATTTAATTTCTTACTGTTGATATGCCATCCATGCTGTTTCACCATAAGAAGCCAGTTGTCCTGGAAATGTCTCTACAAAAAGCATTCAGTGCATTAAGTAAAATAATAAACAAATAATACGGCAAGAAGA